TGTGTGTGTGTGTGTGTGTGTCTGTGTGTGTGTGTTGCGTGTGTGTGCGCGCGCGTCTGCACCGCCAGGCAGCAGGAGGTGAAAGTGGAGGACGACAACGAAAACATGAGAACCCTTGTAGCTTTCCTAGCGTCAGTGCACGTGTGATGAGGTCTTCCATGCACTCTCCCGAGGCTCAGGAGAAGGACGACGTGGAGGAGAGGGATCACATAAAGAAAAAAAAGAGAGGGAGATGTAGGAACGAAAACATGCAACCCCTTGTGGTTCTCCTAACCCCTGTGCAAGTACGATGATGGCCTTTCCCGCACTCTACCCCAGGCTGAGCGATGTTGGCATCCCAGGCAGAACGATGAACAAGAGGAGAAGGATGCTGTAGAGGAGCTGAAGTGGAAAACGATGACATAGAGAAAAAGACATGGAAGAGGAGAACGATGGGGAGGAGGGACCGTGGTAAACAAAATAGAAAGCGGAATGAGTATCACTGAAGTGAAAGATAAACGGAATCACAATACCCTCCTCCTCCCCCTTTTCCCCTCCGGATTGGACACATCAGCATCCTCATCTTCCGACCCCCGTCTCGTCATCGTCATGGTCATCTACTCTCTCCTCCCCCCCCTCTTAGTCCACCCAATTTATATTCGCATCATCATCGTTCCCCCATTCCCTCCTTTCCCTTGCTCTCCTGGAGGTAGGGAAGATATTGACCTTGACAGCTTCCACAAGAAGGATGCCATGAAGGAGGACAACAGAAGAAACACGTGAAGGAGGAAGACGTTGAAGTGGAAAATAGGGAGGCAGGAATCTGGTAGAGCGAAATAGAAAGAGAAAAACAGAATTAATCGAGAGGCCTACGCCTTTTCCCTTCCCGCTTCTTCCTCCCGTCAGCAACGTCATATACTCCTGCCCCGCCTCCTCCTCATCTCCTCACCCAGTGATAGCTACCAAAGTACTCCGCCTGTCGTATTCGCCTTCCTCACCCCAACCCTCTCTCTCTCTCTCTCTCTCTCTCTCTCTCTCTCTCTCTCTCTCTCTCTCTCTCTCTCTCTCTCTCTCTCTCTCGCTCTCGCTCGCTCGCTCCCTCACTCCCCTGCTCTATCCCTCCCTCCCTCTGTGCGTGTGTGTGACATAAAAATCAATCAACAAAATTGGCATAAGCTTGTCGTCTGGACTGAAGCAAGGACGTTATTGAGAGAGCTCGAAGGACATGGACGCAGGCAGAGTGGGGGGGGAGTTTGCAATGACGGGAGCTAAAGAAGCCGGAGCTTAGGTCGCCATGGGGAAGAGAGATGGGCAAAGCAGGTGCAGACGGATATTGCCACAGGACGTCGCAAGATGGAGAGTCAAGGGCAAAAGAGGGAGGAGGAAGAAGAGAAGGAAAAAGGATAAGATCGCGCCTTACCTCTTTCGCGCGCGGAGCTGTTCACCGCTCCGACGACCAAAACAGGAAGGTTCGGCTTTTGGCGGCTTCCAAATCAATCTACAGCAGCACACTGCTCATGTTTCMCCGCGTCTCTCTCTCTCTCTCTCTCTCTCTCTCTCTCTCTCTCTCTCTGTGTGTGT